GTAGTAGTAGTAGTAGTCGTAGTAAGCCCCAAACATCTCCGTCCTTGCCATACTCAGGCTGGTGCCTGGACCAACTGGCAGGGCTCTCGCGCTCAAAGGCAGCGCATCACTTCCTGTCGGGCCCTTCTGCCAGGCAGCAGCTTGTTCACGAAAGCCATGCAGAAGCCATGCGTAATATGGCAAGGCCTCCAAGTTTAGGATGATTCCCCCGTGATTCTACACCACCTGTTGGTCGGGCTTTTTGATAAGGAATCCTTCATCCCATGGTACTCACATCACGCAAGCCGCAAGCATAAGCTACGTGTCCAGGACAAGCTTCAAAGCTTTGGAAGACAGAGTCGCAGACCTGATCATAGCAGATGAAGCCACGCCACCCAAAGAACCCGCACCTCGGTACAGACAGCAAGATGTGTGCAATGACTACACACTAGGAGCTGTAGTCTAAACTCCTTGAAGGGGGACTATATAAGGGATTATATGGGGGACTATTCTCGAGGCTATTAAAGAGGATACTAGGAGCTTCACAACATGGGATGGAAGCCCAAGGAGCTACACATACCCGAAGGGCCGCTGTTGCCACCGCATTCTGGCTATGGCAAGCCAGCACCATTGGGTCCGGACGGGCAACCAGAGCACCAGTTGGCCCAGCGCTGAGCATTACATGGAAGTTTACGGCTTATAGTCCCCCTTAAGTCCCCCTTGAGTAGATAGGGGCTATATTGGGGTTATATTGGGATAATGGAAAAGAAAATGGAAACTACTATAGGGTTTAGGGGTTATAGTCCTCCTTAAGTAGATAGAATATGGCTTTGGGTAAGTTATAATTGATAAGATCCCCATATACCCCAGGTTCCATCTACTTAAGGAGGTCTATAGACAGTAGGATTTTGGGGCTTCTACAAGAGTCATAGAGCAACGAAGTCAGATGTGCTATAATGCAGAGGTGCTGCCGGAAGACAAGAAGCCGGTAGACCCGGACAAGCAGGCGCCGCCACGCCCCTACGACAGGTTCAGCGAGGCGTTATGAGGGAAGCTAATCCCCCCAAATTCCCAAGAAGGTTTTTGTTTAGGGTGTAGGATTTAGTCAAATCAAGTGGTTTGTGGTTTGAGGGTACCGGGGCCATGTCAAGAGGGAGTTGATGCAAGGAAGATACAAGGGTTATGCAGGGAGTTTGGGAAGAAATGTAGGGCATATGTAGGGTCGGCTCATGGCTACCCTCCCCCCAGAGACAGACTGCGAAACAGCGATGATGCTAACATTTGGAAACTACACCTCCTTTCTAGGAAGTAGTTGCACGTATGAGCTACTGCCAACATTGGCCTGATTAAGGCTCCCTTAACAGGACATAGGGTCCCTCCTGTAGTTTAGTAGAGTCCCTGATATAGAACCCACGTAAATTAAGTCATGTTTGAAATATTGACTGTAGCTCATATGACGACAAGCAACGTTGTTTGTACCATCCGCATACCGACAGTAAAGAACAGACCGCAAACCTGACACCCAAACCCTCAACCCTAAACCCCAAATCTTAAACCCTCAATCTTAAAGCCTAGATCCTAAACCCTAAATCCTAAACCCTAACTGACTTGGAAGCCCAGAAAGCTCACAGAGGCTACTCTCCTTTCCCGTATGCGCGGCCGCAGCATAGATCCCAAAAAGAGCTATAGTCTAAACTCCTTTAAGGCAGGTTATATAGGGGAGTATCATAGGGGGTTATTAAAGGGGAGGTAGGAGTTAAGTCTATAGCTCATATGTGCTCTAAATCTTACTAGAATGACTCCCTCACGTTGGTGAAAGCACCCGTTATAGCTCCTTCGTCGAAGTCTTGAAGTTTGTACCTTTGAGGTTTGTAACCTTAGGCTTTGGGTCCCAAGCACCCTGATGAAGGGATATATTCCATGGGGTAGGGATCTAAACCCGGGGGTACAAACCCTAAGGGCGAAAGGAAGACCCCCTGACTAAACTGGCTTGCTGTTAAGGAACTTAAACTAAGTTACTATATTGGGGAAACCGTATTGTTTAC